GGGGGGAGGAGAGATGAACGGAAGGAGGAGGAGGAGCAGGAGGAGGAGGAGGAGGAGGAGGAGGAGGAGCACGAGGAAGAGGAGGAGGAGGAGGAGGAGGAGGAGGAGGAGGAGGAGGAGGAGCAGGAGCAGGAAGAGGAAGAGGAAGAGGAAGAGGAATCTTGCGAACATTGTTCACAGTTGTAATAATAACATTACGTTTTGTCAATGAAAAGAGTACGACCAATTATACGTATACCAATAACAACAATCATGCTGAAACGATTATTCATAATACGACTAAGCATACTGATGATACAAAGGAACGATGACACGACCAAATCTACTACTCATACTAAAAGGCATAATAATAAGATACGTAGGAAGAGAAAGAGGAAGAGGACAAGGAAGAGAAAGAGGAAGAAGAGGAGGAGGAGGAGGAAGACGAGGACGAGGACGAGGACGAGGACGAGGAGGAGAAGGAGGAGAAGGAGGATGATGATGGGAGGAGGGGGAGGAGGAGGAGGAGGAGGAGGAGGAGGAGGAGGAGGAGGAGGCGGAGGAGGAAGAGGAGGAGGAGGAGGAGGCGGAGGAGGAGGAGGAGGAGGGGGAGGAGGAGGAGAAGCAGGAGGAGGAGGAGGATGAGGAGGAGGAGGAGGAATGCCGAACATGTCGGCGCCGAGGCTGCACCCAACTCGGTTTATCGAACCCGCGGTTCTCCTGCACATTCTTTTTTTTCCTTCACACTTTCACATCTTACCAATTAAGTTCTCTCGCCTCGCCTGCCCACGCGGATTTCGCCATGACCGTCAAGGATCAGAGCCAGCACACCGCCAAGAATGGCACCACGGGGGGCTGCCCGCCAGTGAGGCGGCCCGCAAGCGCATGGAGGAATAGCTCGCAGCGCATGGAGGAGGCCGCCTTCTATGGCCCCACCACCGCGCTGCGCCTATCCAGGCGCCGTCGCCTCGAGGCATGCGAGGCAGCGCTACGGAGCAGGCGCAACGTCGAAATCAAGACCGAATGCATCGTCGTCCAGATCCCCAGCATGCACCAGCCCTACACCAACGATTGCTTCAGCGGCTGCCCCTCGCCGCTGGCCGCACTGGGCTTTGATCCTTCATGTCATAACGATGGGCCTCGCGAGGGAAGTTCCACCGTCGTCGGACGTTACGATGACCATCCAGAACTGCGTTGCAACATCTTCGGGGACCTAGCGTGCCCCCACCGCCCGCTGAGCGACCCGAGTGACGACGCAGAGGACGCGCTCACGCCAAGGAGAGACAATAATACGGTCACAGTGAGATCTTCTTTTGCATCGCAGGTGTCAATGGCGCCTTCCGCCCCCGCCTTTGCGAGCACGCGGCGGGACTGGCCCCGTCCAGAGGGGCCACAGACCACCGACGGGGCCGCCGACGACCAGGGGAGACAGCGCGAGGAGCCAGAGGACAATGACGTCGTCATACCAAGTTCCTTATATGTACACGGCGGGACTGGCCCACCCAATACGTGCCTCACACTGCCTGCATGAACACCGGCGACAATGTGAAAGAGGTTCTCGAGGCCGATGGCATCATCGCACCAAATTCCCCGCATCGGAATCAGATGCCAATGGCGCCAGCGGCGCCAGGAGCTATTTGTGCGCGGAGGGATTGCCCCCCCCAATTGGGCCGCCATCTCCACCAGATAATGCTCGAATGAGGGCATATGAGCCCGTGGCAATTATCGCGCCAGTGAGGGGCTTCCTCCGTGGCGCACGATGTCCGACGGAGTTGCCGCGCCATTTTCTTCGCTCTCCACTCCCGCCCCCGCCTTGCGTCGACCAACTCTTCGCCTGCCTAGTCAAGAGGGTTGCGGTGCTAAGCCCGAAGAGAACGCCCGACAAGCACGGGTGGACCCGCGACAGTGTTTCATCATGAGACAGCCTTTTGGATTGCACTGTTCGGGGCCTGGAGGTTAAAGGGTGAACCGCCAAACCCTCGCGCGAGGCGTAGCGCAGCTCAGGCGCTGCCCCGGAGACATAGCGCCCTGCAGTCATCCAGCTTCCGCGCTTCACCCCCAGAGAAGAGCCACGGCTCCAAGTAGTATCGCCGCAGCTTCTGGCACGGCAGCAGGAGTGCGACGTGCGCGGCCCCCGCTGCGTAGCATTGCAGCGACGCGAGACGACATCAGCACGCCCCTTTTCAGATCCAACCCCTGCCGCGTGCCCGCCGCCAGGTCCATCGCGCGTCACCGCCGCGCCGCGCTCGCAGGCGCCGCCTCCGAATGCTGCCGCGCGCCCGCAGGGCAGCCAGGGATGGGAAGGGCTTAGGTTTGGGATTAAGGTATGAGGAGGAACACGGACACAACAACACTGCCGCTATACATAGGCACCAGCTTCTGACCGTCCCCCTCTAGCGCCCCACCCCATATGTTTGTGCCGATATTCCTCCTCCTCCTTTTCCTCCTCCTCCTCCTCCTCCTCCTCCTCCTCCATCCTCGCCTTTCGCTGCGCCGCGCGAGGTGCCGACGCGCCCGAAACATAGTGCAGGTTTCCCGCACTTTCAGTTTGGGGGGGGGGCGTTCGGGGTTATCGGTGAATCGCTGGGACCTTTCCCTTGTCTCCTCCACCGTCGTGCATGCTGCTCCCCCCTGTTCCCTCTCGCTCCTCCTCCCTCTGCTCTCCTCCTCCTCCTCGCCCTCCATTCCCCTCGCTCCTCCTCTCTGCTCCCTGTCCGCTCCTTCTCCTGTTGCTTTCCTCCCTCCCGTGTCGTCCCCGTCCGTCGTGTTTCCCTTTCCCCCAGGGGAAGGCCCTCCTTTCGGTTGGTGTCGCCACCTTTCAAAAGCGGCCCCGCTCCCCTATATACTTTTCGAGGGCACGGCTGGGGATGGCTTTAGGTTTGTGATTCAGTTCGCCATGAGAGTGGGTGGGGAGGAGGAAGAGGAGGAGGAAGTGGAGGAGGAGGAGGAGGAGGAGGAGGAGGAGGAGGAGGAGGAGGAGGAGGAGGAGGAGGAGGAGGAGGATGTGAGGGAGGTGACCAGTGGCCTGAAGGCGCAGCATCCCGCCGCATTGGCTAGGACGGAAACCATCCAGATTCGGAGCCGCTTGGGGGCTCAGAATCAGCGCCCGGCGGGACGCCCCGACCCCCAGCTCGCTGGCGAATGCGCCGCCCGCGCTCTCGCACAGGGGGCAAATCTGATTCGGACAGTCCGTAGAAAAGCAACAGATTTGCTGCACGCTGCCAGGGGCCAGTCGCATTGTCTGGGCTGGTCGCCGGGGACGTCCTCCTGCCCACGCCTCTCCCGACAGCGGGTTCCAAGCGTTGTTTCTCCGCCCATGGGATGGCATCCGGAGGGGCGAGACTGATGCGCCTGCCGTGCCTGGGATGCGGATGCTCCCCTTTGCGGAGTTTCCGAAGTCTCTCCTGTGCACTCCGGTTTTTCCCTTGCCGCTTGCACCGCTTTTGGATGCATTTCCTTGGGCACGAACCCGGAACATGTGCACCACAATCAATGCAGAAAACTAAAGTGTGGCCCTGCTTTTGTTGAAACCGCGTTGAAGTAAAGCGTGCCCGCCGCACTTGAAGGCAATAGGAAGAGAAGACGCCAACGAATCGGCCGGCCCACCGTATTGGGGAATGTCCCCTCACATTCTCCCGCCTCGCGGTGCCGACCCGCTTGTCATGGCGATCCACTCCCTCTCCTTCCGCGTGGTCGAGAATCCAGTCTGGCGGTTCCGCAGCTGCATCCGCCGCCGCCTCTGGCTCGGCAGGGGGCGCCTGCCGAAGATCTGCATCCGCCCCAGCTCCGTTGACGTCACCGCTCTTTGTGCAACTGCGCCCCTCGCTTGGCCAAGTCGTCGGCGTGCGCGTTCGCCATCTGCTCCCAAAGAGTGGTCCGGCCTGCATCTACGTCCGCACCCGTCGCACGGGCTAAAGTCTTGGACACTGTGAAGTCGGCCGACACGAAGGATGCCCAGTAGCGGTCCCATAGGTGGGGCCGTCAGTCCCCAGATCTGGTGCCAGCCCCGTCGCCCGCCTGCAGCGTGCCCACCGTCCCCTTGCAGTCGATGTACAGGTCGAAAGGGGCCATGGCGACGATCGGCAGCATGCTGACGGCGAAGTCCTCCCCGTCGCGGCACGTATGAAGCGGGCAGTCCCCGATAGGCACGAGGCCAAAAGCGGCTCTCTCGAGGTTGCCGAAACTGTCCGCTTGGACGATGCTCCAGCCCGCTCGCGCCAGCATCGGGTGCTTCGGGCGGTAGGCGCTGCCGTCCAAGAAGAGCACGCCTCTCAGTAGACCGCCGGCCGGATCGTTGATCCACTGCACTTCCATCGCTACGCGGGGCCGCAGGAATAGAGGAGCGGGTTCGGGGAAGACCCCCCGCGCAAACAGCTCTCCGGCTGCCACGTCCCAGTCCCTTGCTCGGCGGGCGAGTCCGCGAAGCTCAGGCGTCGTCCCATCACGCCTCAGAGCTTCAAGAGCGGGGCAGTCGTAGCAGCGGTGCCACAGGGTTCGGGCCGAACGAAAGGGGGGGATTGGGAAAGGGGGGGTTACGAAATCTGCTGCATGCAGCTGGTTTCGGCCTCACCGAGGGGCCCATTCCTCGATACATAGCCGCCTCCAGCGCCAGGAAAATTAGCTACGTGAGCTGATTTTCAAACCCCCCCTTTGCTATCCCCCCCTTTCGCCCGACCCGAAGGGTGCCTCCCGCTCCGCCGCACGCCCTGCACGTGGAAGCGGAGGCACGCCCGTGGGCGTGGAGCCAGGCCCGCGTCCAGAGCGCGTTGCTCACGGCAGCTCGCAGCATCCTCTGAAGTTGCGCCGTCCAGAGACCTTGCGATTTGTCCAAGAGCGGCCGCAGCGCAGGCCACAGTGCTGGAAGAGGCTGCACGTTTGCCTGCGAGGCCGCCTCCGCGGCGCCCTTGCCGCCCCAGGGCGAGGCGATCCGACGCCCGCGCCGCCGACTGGGCTGCGAGGGCCCGCACCTGGGCTGGAGGGAGGCGCGCCAGGCGGAGGCGCTCTCCCCGGTCAGGGCATACCTCCGCGGCGGTCTCGAAGCTCCAGCCGATGTGGGCCGCGCTCGGCGCCGCCACGCCTGCAGGAGGAGATGCCTGTCGCCATGGGTGCGCTGAAGTCCTCGCCTTACCCTGTGCCAGCTGCATGACGACCTCCATGATCCGCTTCGTCACGAAGGAATCCCATAGCGCCGAGCGCCAAGTAAAGACGCCGTCGGCGGCGACGAGGACGAACGGGTCGCACCGCGCGCCAGCGCGATAACTGTGCAGCCGGAGCCCCACGGAGGCCCCCCGCGGAAGCTGGCGGCAGCTCCCAGCAGTTGCCACGCGGAGTCCGTGAAGCTGCGTGTCACCAATGCCCGTCGCCGCCGAGCCCCAGAGGGCCTTGGCAGTCGCGCCCACGCGATGCACCGCCTGCGTGCCAGCTCCCGCTTCCTGCAGATGTGTCGGCAGACCCTCTGCCTCTCCGCTCGGCCTCCCTCCGCCCTGGCTCTCGCGGCCCCCACGCGGCGGAGGCGCGCCCTCGTGCTCAGGTCGCTGCCCGAGAAGCGGGCAGTGTGTGTGTGTGTGTGTGTGTGTGTGTTCCGGGGGCGCGGCCGGCATCGTGCCGCGCTCCTCCGGGGCGGCGCCCGGCTCTGTGGGCGGCGCGAGGCACCCGCAGCTTGCCCGCGTGCGCCGGCAGCAGCAGCGCACGGAAGGAGCCCAAGAGTTAGGATGTTCCAGCCTACGTTGGCCCTGATCACCAGACAGAATTTCGAGCGCCAGGAGAAGTGCCGAGAAACTCTAGGGTTTCCACGTGTCGGGCCCTGGGAGACACTCGCCCGACACTGTTGCGACACTGTTTCGACACTCTTTTGGCACTTTTCCGGGTGCTCGAAACTATTTCTGGGATGCGGTCTTTGAGTCGGATGGGAACAACATAACCCAAGAGGCCTTCAAAGGCTTGCGCCAGTGGCTGTGCAGCCTGGGCAGACCGCCCAGCCGACTGCAACCGGGCATCCTCCGCCCTAGTCTTCGCAGAGGCCGATGGTCTGGCCCCCGTTGCCTGGCGCAGCGGCGTCAGGAGCAAGAGCTTCGCGAGCGTGGTTGCTGCCGAGCATCCTGCTATGATGGCCCCGTCGGCGAAGACGAGCTGGGACGCGGCGCCACCGTACACCAATCGCCGTGCACCAGCGTAGGTGGTGCAAAGGCCGAGCAGCAGGCGCAGCGGGAAGCCGCGACCGACCGCAGAAGAGCGCAACCTCGAGAAGTCCACGCTCTCGTAGAATTTGTGCAGGTCCACAGGTCACCATTCCGACCGAGACACCCACGTGCCGAGCGAACGCGGAGAGCATCTCCAGCCGGCCTTATCGCAAGTCTTAGTCTGGTCGCCGCCCCACAAGAACTCCTCGCGATGCCGATCCTCCCACTGTCGGCACAAAGGCTGACGCATGCTGCTCCACAGCTTGCCGAAGAGGGCCAGGAGCCCTATTGGCCGGACGCCCCCGTCTGGCTTGTCCAGGGACACCGTGCTGGTGGCCCACGTCTCCAGCACCCGCGGGTTGCTCTCGAAGGCCTCCAAGATGCACAAGAAGCGGCGGCGATGCTCCTCTGGCAACTGCAGCAGCCACCGCGGGTGGAAACCATCCCACCCCGAGCCCGCACTCGGCGAGTACTTCCGGCACGCCCGGTCGAGATTCTCCAGTTGTGAGCGGGGGGAGGGGCTCCTAGCGCCACGCGCCACCGAGCGGGGTGGTCTTCTCCCTCGCACCGCTCAGGCACGCGCCAGAAGGGCAGCCAGTCCCTCGCGAGCTTGGCTGTGGCGCCCGCTGCGTTCACCGGCAGGCACTCCTCCGCATCGTCCTCGATGTCATTGGCGTCGGAGCGGCTGCGGCGAGCGTATCACTGCTCGAGACGCTCCCGGCCATCCTTCCCAGGATAGCCCTTCGCCATGGCGCTGGAGCGCACCAGGAGCGCCCGGAAGGAATCCACGCGGTCGTGCAAGGTGAGTGCTGCTGCGCACCTCCCTCTCCCAGAGGAGCTCCAAGGGCACGCGCACCGTTCGCGGCCCTCTGCTGCGGCCTGCGTGGCTGCCGCGGTCTCGCTCCTCCACCCCGTGCGCGTGCAAGAGCTGCGCCTCGGCGTCATCGAACCAGCCCTGCACGAGGTGCTCAAGGTCGTGCTGGGGCGCCTGGTCCTCCTCCCAACCCCAAGCCTGCTCGAACGGTTCCAGCTGGGGGCCCGAAGGGGAGGTCCACAGGAAGACGCCGAGATTGCACGGCCTTCTCGACGTACCCCGCACGGCGGATACCCTCCAGGACGAGCATCACCGGGCTGTGGGCCCGCGCGCCTGACTGTCTCGCCTGGCCCGCCCGGTTGGGGTCCGTCCGCCCGGTCCGCCCGTCACGGTCCCGCTCGCCCGACCCGCCCGTCGGAGAGCCCGCCCGACCTCGCCTGTGCTGTGAGGGCCTGCGGGCGGCCGTCGCTGCCCTCGGGGCCCGCGATCCTCGACCCCTCGAGCCCCGATCGGAGAAGGAGCGATTGCCCAGGCATGGACCTCCAGGGCTCCCCGCGGACTTCTCCTGGTTCGGCGCTGGGCCGCCGGCGCGCTCCGCGCGCCCCCGAGGGGAGTCTGGCGCAGAGCACAGAGAGCGCTTGACGCAGGGCGCGAGCGCGGAGCTCATGAGGAAGGAATCGGTGACCCTCCCGGCCTGACTCTCTCCACCCTGGCCCTCCTCCTCCTTCTCCTCCTCGCCCTCTGCGTTTCGCTGCTTGTCGCCGGCGGTTCTCTCGGAGTTGCCCTTACCTGGGACACACGTCGCCAATGAAGGTGCCGCGACTACGCCGTGGTACCTGGGAGACCAGCCGGTACCGCGACTCTCCCAGCTGCATGTTTACGTCCCCGGAAAGAACCCACGACGATCCGCAACTCAGGAGGAATTCGCCGAGCACCTGCAGGAGGTCGAGGTTCTTGCCAGTGGCCCCGATGCTCGTGTGCAGGTATATGCTGATGATGAGCAGGCCTCCCAGGAAGCCCATGTTGACGTGTCGAAGATGTACCCTGCTCTCAAAAGCCTCCAGGAGCTTCGGCCGCAGGCACTTCGAAGCCAGCAGGCGCGACACGGACACTCCACCCCCCGCTGACGTCTCAAGCGGATCGTCCCCAGTCCGGTCAGCGCGGCCAAGCGATAGACGATGCCGGCGACTATCCGCCCAGCTCTCCGTTGACGCCCTCCAGTCCTCCGAGTTTTTTGGTAGGCGACGATGTGGGGAAGCGGATGGTCATCTGGGAGAGCGGCGTCTGGAATTCCTCCAGCCTCTGTCTGGGCATACCGGTCCAGAACAGCGGTACTTGTGTCGGGAGCCTTGAGACGGGGGTCAAAGCAAACGGGGGTCAGCCAGGGCGCCAGATCCTGCAGGATCCTGCGAGGACCCCCTCTGGCTGACCCGGGTCAGGGAGCCGCTCGTGGCCGCGGGGCGGCCGCGCCTATTGGCTGACCCAGGTTTGCGAAGATCTGCGTTGCAGTTTTTTTTTCCTGCATTGCAGTTTTTGGTTTCCTGCTGACCCGGGTCTGGATTGACCCGGGTCAGGAGATCCCCGATTGTGGACCAACTGCTCGCATTCATCCCGAGGATGGTGAGAGACGTGATCTCCGATGGAGGGCAAGTCGGATCCGTAGGCTCCGCCCGGCGGTCTGTCCTGGGGCACCCACCTCCCTGACATCCTTCACCTCCTCCCCCTCCTCCCAGCGATCGTGTAGTGGCTGTACTTGTCATGGTAAGGGCCCGTGCAGGCCTGGGCGCAATCCTCGCCGCGACTGCTGCGGGGAAGGTGGGTGCGGGGCCCTCGCTACCCAGGCGGCCCGCGAGCCAGTGCCTTGGGCTTGAGTGCCTCGAGGCGCACGTGACGTCCCGCCCTCGAGTACAGCTTCTCTGCCTTGGCCTCGCGGGTCTTGAGGCGTTTGGCTTTCTGCTCCTCGCCATCGTCGTCGCCCGGAGCCTCCTCCTCAAGTTCGCGGACAATTTCAAGCCACTGGGCCCGCTCTTCTCCATCCAGCATCGCCCAACCGGGCCGTATGAAGCAGCGGCGGAGGTAGGTGCAGACAGGGCGCCGGCCTCCCCAATTAGCTCCTGCTCCTTCGCCCCCTCCTCCCAGGACGCCGTCCTGTCGCGCAGCGCCTGAGCTTCCAGCGGCAAGAACAGCAGCAGCAGCAGCAGCAGCAGCAGCAGCAGCAGCAGCAGCAGCAGCAGCAGCAGCAGCAGCAGCAGCAGCAGGCGCCCCAGCAGGCGCGGCCAGCAGCACGGAGGGCCGACCGGCTGCCTCCTGGGCGCGGAGCTCCTTCGTGGCTGCCAGGTGGAGCCGCAGCTGGGACTCCCATGGGGCATAGGATTGCAGCTGCTCGGAAGAAGCCCAACCCGTCCGGAGGCCCGCGACCAAGGTGTCGAGGAGCCGGAGCAGGTCGTCGGGGTCGGGTGGCGGGCTGGCCGCAACATGCCCCCTGGCCACGACTTGCTGCTGGAGCTCCAGCTCTTTGAGTTTCTGCAGACCTTTCTCGTTCTCGTCCCTCGCCTCGGCCATCGCCTCCTGATGCTCCTGGATCGTAGCGTTGCGCTTGTCGATCGTCTTCTGCAGCTCCGCGATGCTGTCGATGAGGGCCTTGAACTGGGTCCCCGTGGGCTTGGCGGCCAGGATCTGCGCCTGCACATCCTTGAGCTCCGCCTCCTTCTCCCACAGGGCGGCCGCCGCTGCGGCCCCGCAGCTCTCGCGGAGCAGCCCGATCTCCTTCTTGATCGCCGTCGCCTCGTTCCGCAAGTCCTCAGTGTCATTATTGGGGTCCACGTCCATGGCGTTCCCCTTCTCTTGATCCTGCAGCTTCTTCTTGAGCTTGCCGTGCTCGGCCTGCAGGTCCTTGAGTTGCTTCGCCAACGTGGCGTTTGTCCCTCCTTTGTGTCCAGTGTGTGTGTGTGTGGCTGTGTGGCTGGGTCCCCCGTGCGCAAAACCTTGGCCAAGAAGCACTGCCCTTTTGCCACATGGCACTTGTAGCAATCGGTCCGCCCAGCCCAGTTGCAGAACGGGTTGCCGTCGCGGCCCTTGCACTTCCGGCACATCTCTCCGACGTATCGGCATCCTTGCGCGACATGGCGAGCGGGGAGGAGCCGTGGTGCTCTGCAGGCAGGGTCTCAGCATCACCCAGCCTGAGAATGAGGCGCGGCGTGGGGCGTTGAGCCCACGCGCGCAGGAGGTCCTTTTCGTGAGACTGGGCGTAGCGCGCACGCGACTGCCACGCAGCCTCGGGCGTGGCGGCGACTGTGTACGCTGGGCCGATCGCAGGAGAAGGTAGGTGTGGCCGAGCCCTTAGAATGTGAGCCCCCCAATCGGTCACAGACCAATCCATGATCCACGCCCAGGAGGAGGAGGAAGAGGAGGAAGAGGAGGAAGAGGAGTAGTAGTAGTAGTAGTAGTAGTAGTAGTAGTAGTAGTAGTAGTAGTAGTAGTAGTAGTAGTAGTAGTAGTAGTGGTAGTAGTAGTCGTAGTAGTAGTAGTAGTAGTGGTGGTAGTAGTAGTGGTAGTAGTAGTGGTAGTAGTAGTAGTAGTAGTAGTAGTCGTAGTCGTAGTCGTAGTCGTAGTCGTAGTAGTAGTAGTAGTAGTAGTAGTAGTAGTAGTAGTAGTAGTAGTAGATAGTATGTAGTAGGTAGTAGGTCGTATGTAGTAGGTAGTAGGTAGTAGGTAGTAGTAGTAGTAGTAGTAGTAGTAGTAGTAGTAGTAGTAGTAGTAGTAGTAGTAGTAGTAGTAGTAGTAGTAGTAGTAGTAGTAGTAGCTACTACTACTACTTCTAGTCGTAGTAGTGGCAGTAGCAGTAGAAGTAGCAGCAGCAGCAGCAGCAGCAG